TATTGATGACCTGGATGAGGGCATTGAGTGCAGATGACTAAGTTTGCAGATGACACCAAGTTGGCTGGAAGCGTCGATCTGCCTGGGGGTAGTGAGATCCTACAGAGGGATCTGCACAGGTTGGATAGCTTGGCTGAAGCCAATGGGATGAGGTTCAACAAGATCAAATACTGGGTTCTGCACTTTGGCCACAACAACCCCAGGAAACGCTACGGGCTTGGGGCAGAGTGACTGGAAGATTGTGTAGAGGTATTGACGTTGAGGCCCTAGAGCATGTTCAAAGAAGGGCAACAAAGCTGGTGAGGGGTCTGTAGCACAGGCCTTATGAGGAACAGCTGAAGAAACTGGGATTGTTCAGTCTGGAGAAGAGGAGTCTCAGGGGAGACCTTATTGCATATCTATAACTACCTGAAGGGAGGTTGTAGTGTGCTGGGGGTTGGCTTCTTCTCTCATGTAACAGGTGATAGGACTGGAGGGAATGGCTTCAAGCTATGCCAGGGGAGATCTAGGCTGGACGTTAGGAAATACTACTTCTCTGAAAGAGTGGTCAGGCATTGGAATGGGCTGCCCAGGGAGGTGATGGTATCACTGACCCTGTAGGTGTTTGTATGTTGTGTTGAGGGACATGGTTTAGTCTGAGCTATTGGTAGGTGGTTGGACTGGATGATCGTGTGGGTCTTTTCCAACCTTGGTGATTCTCTAATGCTATGAAATGTCATTAGGAGTCTCTGTCTCTGAATTCATTTTTTTTCAATGGGAATGCCTTGAAGTTTTCAGGAAGAGTTAACACCATTCTTAATATACTATTCTTTGGGAGATGTGCATAGCTGTACAGTTCATACCACACTCTTGTACCAGCTTTGTTGATGTTTTTCCTCTCACTTGTTATATTTATGCCTATTCTAATCTTCACTTGTACAGGAATTTCACAGGGTCATGAGCTGAGTATCAGGAGGACATACGTGTGCCAAGGACATATAGTCAGTGTCTTCCATTGTTTTGCTTGCAGTGCTAGAAATCATCAGTTTGTTTTAGTTAGTATTGCATATGTTCCTAGTTGTATTTCTTCTGGTACACTTTAAGTGAGGTAACAACATGATTAAAAAAAAAAAAACAAACAAACTCCTCACTACTGTGTCATCCCTCTAGGACATGAAATTTTAGGATCCCCCAAGAGCAGCCAGTTCTTCATTATGATTAATGCTTTCTGTTACTGTATTCAGTGCTCTGATTGTCCACAAAATGGCCTTCATGTCTGGTTTAAAAAAAAAAAAAAAAAGTCAGCTAAGAACAGTGATAGGCTAAATAGTCCTAGGATTGCTCTTTTTTTCCTAATCCTGTCCATCTGTGTAACGCATCAGAACAAAGGCAGTTTTCTACTGACATTTCCAGAGAGATATAGGTGCTACTGTAATTCAAACATATGCATTTTTTTCACATAGATTTAGTCACTTGTCTTTTCTTCCCATTCTCTCCACAAAAAGTTATGACCATGGTTGGAAACTGCTGGATTTTACTCATTCTGATGTACAGATATATTGTCATAACACAGGGCAGTGTCTGGCCCTCTACGAAGCAGTCACCTAATATTTTGTTCCTAACTGGAAGTTTTTGTTTTTCCTGTTCTAATAATAATAATAATAATGGAAAAGGACTTGTTTACACATCAGTGCAAATTCTGAAAGGCAGATAATGAGACTGGTCTGTCTCCTGCTGCTTACCTGGTGCAGCTGGGAAGAAAACCCAGTTATCCTCTTCTGACCATATGCCCTAAACCTTGAACCATGCTGCTGTCATTGGTACCAGAAGACCATATCTCTGTGCTTTTCATTTTTCTTTTAAATAAATAAATAAAAACAATACAAGAAATCGTTGTTCCAAGTCAGTAGTAGGCAAGGTAAGTACCTTGCAAAAGGGATGATTTATTTTGTGAGCTGTGCTGCAAACTCTGTAAACCTCGTAAATTGCTTTGCAGTGTGTACGTACAAGAATTGATTAAAGGAAGGTAATTAAAATCTCTTTCACAAAACTGGCAAAAAACTTCTTTACCTGTGGAATCATTTCTTTGGAAAATGAATTACTTGTTCCCAAAAGCACTTGAAATTAAGACAGAGGTTTGCTGAACATTTTCATAGTATGTTTTAAGAAGGGCACACTGTTGATTTACTTGTGACAGGCATGCTATTTTACAGTCCTGTTCAAGCTAACAATAAAATTTGTCATGTTCTGTAGAAAACAGAGAAAAGATATTTGCTTTTATGGAGGATTTAAAGTTTTGCCACATAGCTAAGCACAGTTTGTAAAAGTGTAAAAATGAGAACTCCATATATAAAGTACACAATGCTATATCAGAGAAAATAATAATTTGTGATGTAATTAGGTGGCTTGTATGAGCTAATATATTCATCCCTGGAAAAATATATGAATGCTAACACTTGAGTCAGTATTTCAATCTGAGAGTTGCTCTATTCATAGGCAAATTCATTAACAACGGTATCTGTGTATATGTGTAATTAATTGACTGTTGCATAATACTGGCCTTTGTTCAGCTTTTGAAGTCAGTCAGTATTTATAGCAAATAAGTTCTGCTGGGGACTTTTAAGTGTGATTAATATTTCTTATGTCTCATCATTTAAAGGGCTTGTCCCATCAATACTTTGCCTCAGTTTATTGTGTGGAAGTCTTGCGATAACTAAAAGGAAAATGGTGGAAAGTATGTTCCACATCACAGAGACATTAATGGGGAGCAGTTACGTCTTGTATGATTAGCAGGAAAGAACTCAAGTGTTTCTTTAAAAATAAATGTTATGCTTCTGTTGAAATATGTGCTTGACTTAAAATACAGAGTCTTAAATCAAATTTACATTCGCCACATTTAATTACAAAAGACAGAAGGAGACAGTAATGATATGTAGGCTTTAGATAGCAGTTGGAGATAAGCAGCAGCTCTCAAGATGTTTCACAGGTGGGAAGACAAAGGCATGAAGCAAAGAAGTGACTTTTCCTAGGTCACAGCTGATGGCAATGCTTCAAATAAATGACCAAAACCCAAGAACTTCTACTGAACAAATAAGCAGTTGTGCTTTGATCACTGATGCTGACTTCTGGTATCTTACTCTCCCTCCCATGTTAAGCACATGTGAGCCCAACTGTTTCTTACTGCTTTAACTGGCATAATGGCATGGCTGGTTGTGACCTCTGCTAGTCAAAAAGTGTTCAAGATTTGGGAAGAGCACCTTTACTAAGATAACTGCAGCATACCTGGTGCTGCTGTGCTAATTTCCAACCAGCTTGACTCAGGCTCCAGAGTTGTGCATTAGCAAGGAAAGTTTTTTCCAACCCTTAGAGAGATGCCCAGGTTGGACTGTGCAAGCAGCTGCCCCAGTGCCCCTGATTCCTCTAAAAAGGAGGTGCTGCAACATGTCCTTGTGCTCATCTCCACCTCTGCCTGGAAATGGACAATCCTTTCTTAATTATATTTATGTGGAAGAAGTCTCTGAGGTCTGATTAATCTAAAGTGTCTTTGTATATTTGATGTTGGGAGAAAGTGATCAAATTTCAAGAGCTCAAGAACACTTCATTATTCTTATTTGGTAATGTCTTCCCATGAAATAGTAGTTTGCTGGCAGTATTGAACAGTTATCGATAATTTCATAACTCACTTTTGTCTTTCTATGTTTTATGTTATGAGAGTACTGATAATCCTAAATTCGGGCTCTCTTTACAAGCTCCTAGGGGTTGCTTCATTTGTGGTACTGCAATAAGCTATTCCTCCCACAGGCAGATGAGAGCCAACAGCAGAGTTCTGTGTAAGAATTTTCAAGAGGATGTCCACCTTGCACTGGTCTTTCAGAGGCTGAGGTATCTACTGGTGAAAGGTGGGTGCCAGCATGGCTATTTTTCCCCCACAAAGTTTTGAACTTTTATCGCTCTTAAATGGCTTCCAATATTTAATACTTCTAATGTTGGGTAAGAGCTAGTGATGCTACAGGCATGTAGTCATGGGAAACAATATGATTCATTCACCATTTTCTTAGTATTTTGGTTACTTTAAGAGTGTGATATATCCTATGAGTCCCTGACAAACAGAAGATTCTAAAAATGTTACCAGTACGTGCTTCCATTCATGCTGTCCCCTGGATTTTTACTAGAGCATGAGTAGTGTGAGATGGCTGAGGAATTAACCACCCTTAGCTGCAGAGTGTGAATAACCTCAGTACAAATCATCATCTGATGCCATTTACTCTGTGCTGCAAACTGCAGTGGTTCACAGACAGCTTGGTGATTGTCTGTTACATCTTTGATGTGATGGCAGGGAAAAAAAAATCAGCATTCAGAACTGTCCAAAACTGTAGACATAAACTCCCTACTGTTTTCTGTATTGAATTAATCTGCATTACTTTTATTTCCTTACTGCTCTTTTTCTTATAGAATCACTATGCTTCTTTGAGGAACAGAGTCTGAGGTTATGACTGCTGCTGGAATGGTGGACCACAGGCAGAATACACTGTGAGCTTTCTGTCCAGCAGCATTTAGTATCTGGAGGAAGCAGGCACTGCTGTTATTTGCTGTTGCTGGCTGTCATGCTGCATGTAAGTCTGGCACCTCAGAGCAATTGCTTTGGATTAGAGATGGAATTCAGCATACAAAGGAAAAATGGTACTCCTATATAAATAACTGAGAGTCTCACAATGGCCCTTTGAACCAGCTCGTTTGTTCTAGTCACTGCCTGTGAGTAGCATGAGTTTATCTAGTACATGCAGCCATTGAAAGTAAAATAAAATTTAAAAAAATAACTGAAAAAGAAAACCTGTTACATTCAAGGTTGTGCAGATCTATTCTATGGGCTAGTTGCCTGTGTCCTAATTATATAAGAACATTTGTTTATCCATGTAGTTATCTGTTCATCTTTGTGCTTGCTCCAGTAGCCAGAAATCACAGTCCCTCTCTTTGTAAGGGTAACCATGTGATTGCACAGCTCTTCCGTACTTCTACAGCATGATTTATTTTTATTTTGCTTCTTCAAGTGGCCTACTGCACACTGAGTAGCTTAAGCTTCCATTATCTTTGAACAGCAGCAGTTATTTATATAAATGAAATCATTGTATTTGCGTTATTGGCAGTATAGAGGATAGGAAATCAAATGGCTTAGTTTGCTGGAGTATTCTGGCATTCACTTCCAGCATCATGGGGTCTGCATCAATCATTAGCTTTTAGAAGCTAGTACTATCAATATTTATTCTGGATCTTAAATATCTCAGTTTTCCTCAAGAAATACAAGATAAAGGCAATAGGAGGATTTGAATGTTCTGATGTATTTTTTGTTTGTTTTAAAGAAGCAAGCTGACAGCTGAATTGTGTAGTTCATAACTTGTAGTTAATTAGCAGAATTCCCTCAGCTGTTTGCATAAGCTGATGGTGAAAGAGTCACAATGTATTGTTAAAGGGCAAGTAGAATAATTTGTTCCTATAGAAGAGACAAAAATTATATGTTTATTGTGCATTCAATTTTTCCTTTTAGATGAATAGGAGAGGTCACCAAAATAATTGTTACTTCCCCCCATGTATATATAAATATTTTTACATTAGACATGAAACCTTTCTCCACTAAATAAATGACATATGGAGACTTAGACATGTACTTCTGTTCTATGTTACCAAAACTTTTTTCTTCTGTGCACTTTACCTTTTATCTGATAAACTATTAATGAAATTAAACACCCTTAACAAACCATGGATGTCATATAACTTATTTTGAAGAAAAAAACATAATTCTTATTTTGTTGTATTTCTGCATTGTCTTTTCCTGAAGGTCTCTATGTGAATCTGTAACCTCTTCATTGTCATCCTCTTTGCTACAAGAATGTTCAAGTCATCCAGTGCTGCCCTGTTATACTTGCAAGAGATAAGAGTCACTAAATCGGTATTTTACATAGTCTCAGAGAGGAGAGGAAAAAAAAAAAAAAAAGATGAACAGCATGTTTCTTTAGGATTTTTTTTTTTCCATTTTATACTTTTAGAAGGCTTTCTTTATTATAAGTTTTATTCTATTTTTGCTGATGCAGAATAAACATATTCAAGTCTATGTTCCATTAACCATTTTCACCTCAATTGTCCACAACTTCCTCAGCCAGATCTCTTTCTCTTTAATATATTCCATGGTTGGTTTCAGATCAGAAGTGACATTTCTGAGAGTAAATAAAATTTAGTCAGTCAACTTTTTTGGATTTCTCCATATGTTTTAAATCCGGAGAGCTGTCAAGATGTCACTTAATAGATGACTTAGTATCCAATTTTTAGATCTTAAGAAAAAGCAAATGAGATTTGAATTTCATAGCTTTAAAGTTTTGAACGCACTTGTTTTTCACTTGTTTTTTTTTTTTTGGTTCTTAATGCAAACTTGCTGCTATTTTTTCGTATTGTGAAATGAAACTTTAAGTGGGCTAGAAGAATATTTTTCTTACCTGATTTTTAATGTAGACCTTTCCCTTCAACTGAGATCAATCACATTCTGAATAAACCTAAATTGCAGTGCTGACTATAATAAAAGTCTAGTTGACGAAGATATAGATGTCTAAATGATCAGATGATTCTTAGTCTGACTTCAGGGAAAGAAGCACTGGAGCTGCCTGTGCCTCACTTTGTCAATATGCATTAAAAAAAAATCTTTGCATTTGAGTTCATGTTTGGAAAATACTTCTGGTTGTTTTATACCAACAGCTAGCTCAGCTCCACCATACTACTCCCTCACTCATGCTCCTCAAAAGAACAGGAAAGAGAAAATACAGTGAAAAAGGAATCGTGGATTGAAGTAAGGACCTTCTGCCCTACCTTGGGTTCTTCTCCCTAAGCTGCAGCTCCGGCAGCTCCTTCAGGCTCCAGCCACTGCTTCACCACAGGCTCTTCCATGACTGCGCATGAAGATCTACTCTGGGAACAGCTTGCTCCTCCATGAACCTCTTCTGGGCTGCAGGGAGCTTCTGCTCTGCACCTGGAGCATCTCCTGCCCTCCTTCTGCACTGACCTTGGCGTTTGGAGGGCTGTTTCTCTCACAGTTCTCAGTCTTCTCTCCTAGCTGCTGTTGCACAGCAGTTTTCACTTCCTTAACTCTGTTCCTTAATAAAGGCACCATACAGTGTCTTGGGTTGGAAGGGACCTCAAGGATCCAACAGCCCTGCCACAAGCAGGGTTGCCAAGCAATGGATCTAGTACTAGATCAGGTTGCCCAGGGCCCCGCTCAGCTGGCCTTAAACACCTCCAGGGATGGGGCATTTGTAGCCTCTGAGCAACCTGTTTCAGCACCTCACCATCCTAGGAGTGATACTACTGACATGTAGTCCTCCTCTCCTTTAGCTTAAAGGCATTTCTGCTTGTCCTATCACTATCTACCCATGTAAAAAAAGTTGATTTTCCTCCTGTTTATTATAATCTCCCTTTAAATAATGGAAGGTCACCATGAAGCTTTCCCGCAACCTTCTCTTCTCCAGGCTAAACAAGCCCAGTTCCTTCAGCGTGTCTTCTTAGAAGAGGTGTTTCAGCCCTCTCATTATCTTTGTGACCCTGCTCTGTACTCTCTCCAAAAGCTCAACATTCTTCCTGTGTTGAGCACCCGAAACCTGGACATAATACTCCAGGGGGGACCTCACAAGGATAGAGTAGAGAGGGGCAAGCACCTCCCTCAGCCTGCTGGTCCACCCCTCTTCTAATGCAGCCCAGAATACCACTGATCTTCTAGCCTGCAGTTGTGCACTCTGCTGGCTCACGTTAAGTTTTTCATCTACCAGGATTCCTAAATCCTTCTCAGGAGGGCTACTTTCAAGTTCTTCTTTTTCCAGCTTGTGTACATACCTGGGATTACCTTGATCTAAGCGTGAAATCTTGCACTTTGCTGAATCTCATTAGATTCACATGGGCCGCCTTTTGAGTTTATAGAGGTCCCTCTGGATGGTATCCCTTCCTTCTGTTGAATCAATTGCACCACTCAACTTGGTGTCATCAGCAAAGTTGCCTGCACCTGATCCCATCAGCTATTAAAGAGTACCAGTCCCAAGACAGATCCCTGGGAGACACCAGTTGTCACCAGCCTTCACTTGGACATAGAGCCATTGATCACAACCCTCTGGCTGTGACCTTCCAACCAATTCCTTATCCACTGAATATTCCAGTGTTCAGATCCATCTCTCTCCAATTTAGAGATAAGGATGTGGTGGAGGACCTTGTCAAAGGCTTTGCAGAAGTCCAGGCAGATTGCATCAGTTGCCTTTCTAGGTGCGCCATGAGCATACCCAGCACTGTTTTTGGCTCAGATCTGTCAGCAGCAAGTCCCTGTCGGACCAGTTGAAGCTATACTCCTCTGAAATGTGGCAGTGCTGGTCACTGCTCACAGAGATCACCCCTGCAGCTCCCCAGCTACAAAAACCTTGCCACATAAGCCCAACACAACTTCAGTCAACACTAAGTGTTTGTATATATATATGCATGTGTGTATGTATAGTAATGTGTATATAAGTACACGTCTACATAGCACATGTATGGGTCTAGATGTTTTTAAGCAGATTTTTTTTTTAACATTTTTACTATATAAGTACATGTGCATTTGTTTCAATATAACCACATTTAGAGTCAACAATTCCTTTTCTAATGTGTTAGTTGGCCTCGGGTTCCAACATGTTGATTGGCAGTTGCATACTATGCATCCAGATTGATTTGTAGATTTGACTAAGGGAAATGGGTCTCAGTTTTCAGAAATGAACCATGAAGGTATCTGGAAATGAAATAACTGTACCTGATTTCAGCTTTGATAAGATATTTTGCTGTTGTGTAGGCAGAGGAAAGAAGTTCCACGTAATAAGCTAGAAGTAGCGAAGAGAATCGAGTACTTCCAATAGTATTAAGTCCCTCAGCAGTAATCCTTTAAGCACCCTCCTAAGCAGATTGGGAAGTTGATCTAACCTTTGCTGTCAGTATCTGTCACCCAACCCCACAGTCTGGAAATACATTAGCTGAGCCGCGGCAACGTTGCAGACTCAATTATTTTAAATTCCTGCAGCATGTGGTGTCTCATTCCAGTTTCATAGTTGCATGTTAGTGCTTAAGAATCTTTATGTAAGGTGTTTTTTTGGGGGTTTTTTGTTTGTTTGTTTTGTTTTTTGTTTTTTGATCTGTATTCTTTGCTCTTAAAGAGGAATAACATTAAAACATTTGCATCATATTCAGGATATTTTCAAAGCTTATTATTTCAAACCAACCTCTATGATTTTGAGGTGACTTGGAATTATCTGTACTAGAGGAAAACTGTATCACTGTTGATATCCTTCCCAAATGTAAGGATCCCTGTTTTCACAGTTCACTGAATGGTTTTGTATTCTACCTAAACTGCTCTCAAATTAGAAGGACCGAAAGGCAGAAGTACATCAATGATAATTTTGGCAGTTTTCCTCAACCTCTTGAGTAGAGCCAAAAAGCAAAAGTTGTTTAATCTTACTATGATAATGTGATGGCTACCACTGTACCACCAGTGTATTACAGGTATTTGGAGTCACTTTAATCTTTCAGCTCTGGTTACACTCTGAAATATAAACTGTAAGACACAAAGACAGGCAAAATGGAGCCCAAATACAGGAGTGATGAACACAAAATGACAGTGTTGGTACTGAAAGGCCTGTGAATGTGCACCTGCATTTTCATAGTGGACTATTCAAGATAGCTGCAGGTTTTGTCACTGGGCATGGCCAAACTTACTGCTTTCTTGGTAAAAGTATTTAGTTATCTAGGCTTGATTAGATTTCTTTGTATCATAACGGGGGTCAGAGGAAGAGGGGGAAGAAGTACTAAGAGGGTTCTCCAGGCCTGGTATCCACTGCATTATAATAAAAAGGTCAGAGCTTGACCTGATTCTCTGCCCAAGAATGCAGACTCTCATTCGTCCTTTCTCATTAAAGCATCTGAACTGAAAAGTGAGGGGCTAGATTGGATAGTCTTTAAAAATGGTGAATTAATGGGTCCAAAAGAAGAGTCTGCAAGAGGAATTTGCCTCCGTAGTCCCGCAATAAGGCAAAGGGAGGACTGAAGATTGATTTATGCTTCCCAAATCAAGTTCAAAGCCCAGGGCAATCCTAATTACTGTGCCGCTATGACACATTTGTCATTAATCATCCCCATGCGCTGTCTCCCCTGAGTGTTTCACAAGACAAGGAGCAAGCTGAGAATGCCAGCCCTGTCACTGCGCTCCTGATCTAGAGAGGGAGTAAGGCATGGTGATACTTATTCATTTTGTCCATGAACAAAATGCACTGCTTCTAGGTTGCTATAAGAAAGAAAAATAATGGTACAAGTTCCACTCCTATTTCTTGCTGTTTTTAAGAGGAAAAGTGAAAGCAGCCTGCATATGCTCAGAAAGTTCCTACATACTGCAGGACTGTAGATCCTGATTTCAGAAAAACTACTACCTCAAATTGCATAGAGTAGCCTCAGAAAGACACGATTTTAAGCACTTCTCATCCACATTTCCTTCCAGCTGGTTTAGATGTCTTTTGGATTATATGGAAACTGACTGCTTAAAATAAGTCTTTTGTAAATTCTGTGGAGGGATGTGCATGTCAAAAAGCCAGCCATCACCATACTTTAGTCCTGTCTAGATTTGGACTGCAGTGACAATGCTGGCATTCTCAGCTTGCTTTTTGTCTTGTGAATTATTTTAGTAGAGCCAGTGGATAAGAAAGAGTAATTATGGAGGTGTCATAGCAGCACCATAATTAGGATTGCATTGAGCTTTGCAGTTAAATTTTATGCCTAATGCTCCCCTGCTGTCCCCCATCAGCGTACCACATTTGAAGTACAGCTACAATTAAACCATCATAAAACAGAGTACACAGCTAGACAAAATGATTAAAAGGAACCCAAAACCACGTGTTGTGAGAGAGGAATGACTTTCTCATGACATTGGTTGCTCTTGCTATAGTTTGTAGACTTTCAAGCATTTCAATTTCATGATTTCCCCCTCTTTCCCTCTACCAATACTATAGTATGTGTCACCTCGGGCCCTATTATTTATCCGATTGCAAAACAGCCTCATCCAGTATGACACAAAAGAACTATAAATAATCTTGGCTCTGCTTATGCTTGAATAGTTCAACATGCCTGAGATGCCTGGGCACAGCTTGTGAACACAGCTATATAATAATCCGTGGGATATAAAGCCAGTTCTTTTTTTGAAATTTACATTGGGCTTTGTTTTCTTTAGCTTGGATATTCACATCAGCATGGTTTTCCAGGAAGCAGGCAAAACATGAATGAAAAAGCCTCACTGTGCTGCTGAAGACTAGAACACCTGCAAAAAATCTGCTGGAGTTTACA